AATTATTTTAACTAGTACTGATCACTCTGATCATCACATATCTGTAGGAAAACTACCCCAGATCAGGAAATGATCTACCAAAAAGGATTAAAGGAAATAATTCCTTAAGTTCACACATGTTTGGGAACAGCGCATGTTCCCACTAGCCAGAATTGGAAACCTCATAATTCACAGGACATCAGATAGAGTACTCAGAAAGAATTTTCCTCATTAGTGGGGAACGATTAACTCTAAATACAACACTAATCCTTTCTTACAAAGTTTTAAAGCAAGAATCTAAAAGACCAAACTTTACAAAAACTGTTTTCCAGAATACAAATTAATATAACTCCAGGGATACGAAAATACCCAGCACTCAATAGGTGAAACTTACAATGTCTGACATCCAATCAAGAGCCTACAAAGAAACAGGAAAATAAAAATCATCATGAGAGAAAAAGCAACCAATCAAAACTGACCCAGAAATGACAACGATGGTAGAATTATATAAGGACATAAAAGCAGATAATTAGAACTTCATTGCATGTGGTCAAGAAGCTACAGGAAAGAGTGAACAAGTTTAGTGGAGACATGGAATATAAAAAAATATTTAAAAGGCTCAAATTAAACATCTAGAGATAAAATCTACAATGTCTGAAATGAAAAAATATACTAGATGAAGTTAATGGCAGATTACACATTGTAGAAGAATAGTATACCTGAAGACATAGCAAAAGAAACCATTTAAAATGAGACACAGAGAGAAAAGACTGAAAAATTAACAGAACATTGTGGTTGTGTGACAACCATATTGATAGTCACTTGAAATGGAAATTGTCTTAGCCCTCTAATTACATGACGGAGATTGTCGGAGTGGATAAAAAAGCAAGACTAGGCCCCTAATATCCTATAACCACAAATACAAGCTGAGAAAAAGGCCTCTTTTGCTAAAAATATAAAACATACCATGGTCCAAGCATCACTAAGACAGTACCCACCAAAACTAGCACAACTGTAATTCAAGTAGGTCTTTATGCACACCTCTGTAGGATATAAACTGGGACATTAACACGTTGAGGTGTCTAGAGAAATCTGTAGTGATCAAGACCAGTGGAGAGTGCAGAACTGGGAGGAGTGGGTGGGTCATCATAGCTGAGGGATGGAGTGGGACTGTGACATAGTTTGGCTACCACTCCGAGCAGCTGAAGGGGATCTGAGGTACTTGGATTCTGAATGTACAGGTGAAAACATGAAGTCACCCAACACCGTTCACTCACATGCCCTTTACCTCCTTTGGGTCTCACAGCAGCCCTGGAAATTATCATCTCCATTTTACCAATGAGTATAGTAAACACTAATGCGTTACCATGGCAATAACTACTAAGTTTACATAATCAGCTAAAGGATCCAGAACTAGTTTGAAATTCATTATTCTTTTTCAACAAATTTTCCACTCTTTTAATAACTGACACATTAGTTTGCTTCCTCTTTTAAAAACCAAATTTTAATTACGAACTAAGTAATATGCATTAATTTAGGGAAAAAATAGACAACAACTTAAAATTAATTGATACTCATGTGATCTTAGGAAAAGAAGGTGTTGAAGAAAATATTTTAAAACTTTCTTAATACAGTTTTTCTTCTGCTCAAAGCAACAACAAAAATGCATTACTTTACAGTCAGAAACACAAAGTTCATTTGTGTGAAAACGATTTTTTAAAATGGGCATACATCTGAAGATTTCTCTCTTCATATGAAACTCAGCAAAGTTTATTTTTATTAAATAGAAAATATTTTCCATCAGAGTAAATTTCTAAACATGCTAATTGTGACTTTTCAAATGTCTGGCAAACTTTTTTTTAAATTAGATTTTCAAGTTTATAGGGATGCCATATTTATTGGGTTATGTAGAGTTATATCACTTAGAAAGCATTCCAGCTGGTTACACATGAAATATCAACTACATAACATGCTATCTTTCTGAAAATTTAAAAATTGGACCTTTCTAAACAAAATCAGTATATTTACTATATAATATATGTGATGTCAGGAAAGGAGAAAGAGTAGACGTGGAATTTTGCCCATTTCATTTATGAAACCCAAAACTTTTTCTACTTCTAAGACAATTTTTAAGTTTCGTAAATAAATAGTTCTGTCCTGTTCTAGTAAATAAATATATTTACTTTATATTTCTAAATTTACAAAAATACATTTCAAAATTGGACTACATTACATCACTGTGAGTGGACTTCTGAAATGTGATGGTTTGAGTTTTGAAAATCAAGAGCTAACTAACCGAAAGCTGATCAAATGTGAGTCAATCAGCTTTGATAAGTGGAGAGGAGAGATTAGAAAAACAGTAACAAACATGGCAAGCTAAATATATTTCTTTGGCAGGGGCTTTGAAAGAGGCAGTGTTCCTCACAAGAGGCTCTAAGCCTAGCTTTATCATGATAAAATATAAGATGAAGATTAAAAAACTTACGAATGGTATCTTTGGATGACTGGATTATGGTTTTGTTTATATTTTCCCTATATTCATGATCCAAATATGTATGATGACATTATATAAATAATTATAAAAAGTATTAACATTTTAAAATGTTCTTTATAGAAACTTTTAAAATATGAAAGTATTAAAAAAAAACACAGGCTCAAAAATGTTGTTATATATTGTTTTAGATAAACTATAATCCTAAAATAATTTAATAATTAATTAGTAAATGAATTAATTAAATGAATTATTATGCTATGAAACATCTACTATACTAGGCACTGTGCTAGAAACTGAGTTCCAGGGAGATTAAGACAAAATCATTGTTGTGAAAGGGCACAGGTTGGCATAGAAATGATAATGCATAATTTATTTAATAATTTCATAATTATTATACATTTATTATTAATAATAAACTCATGATAAGGTATTAGTTTAATAGGATATTTGAAAAGAGGATAAAACAGTACTGGTTTAAGTATAAACATACATTGATGGTCTAATGTAGTCTGATTTTGGAATGCTGTACTTTGGAAACGTATATTCTTTGTGGAATCAACTAAGTAAGGTAATTTGGATCACGATATTTGTAAAATGGTGTAATTACTGTCAATGTTTCTCTATGCCTATGTTGTCAAAACTCAGATGTGTGAGAATCACTTGGGAAACTGTCAAAATAGTAATTCCTGATTCTGGTGATTCAGGTGGTGACAGTGGCTGGTAGTGGGTGGGAATAGCACCCAGCTGTCATCATTTTTAACACTTTCCCTAGGTGATTGTGATTCAAGTAAGGGGTCTATGTTTCCCTAAACACTAACATATACAAGGTTTAAAAAAAAGTTTACAGAATTTGAGTTAGAAACTTTCCTTGCTATGTTCCTTTGGAAACAATGTAATGCTTTCCACATAACTAGTTACTTGCCTTTGGCCCCTTAGTTAAGGATAGTGAGTTAGGGACAGTTTTGAGCTGGATTTCTAACTCTATCTTAGTTAACTAATCAATCAAAATATTAGTAATTTCATATCTACTATGTCGGGCACCATACCAGAAACTGTCTGGAGAAAAGGGCACACACTCACAAAGAAATAACAATACCAAATACTTAATATAGTTTTTAAGAACTTACAAAGTAGTTTCATGGTTCAGGTATGGACAAGAAGGGAGTGTGTTTCCGCTTTAAAGAAAATGTGTTCCCCCAATTAACTTACAGGTCTGGGTAAGTCTGTTAAACTGGGTGGGCAGGCCTGCCAAAAGCCTCCTTTGAGAAAATCCATGTCAAGGATAGAAACACAGGCACAAATAAAGCCTTCAGCCTGTTTGTATTGTGGAGGTTTGCAGTAATGCAATTCAGGGCACACTTAGATGCATTTCCTGAGCTAGTTACCAGTGCACTCTTGTCTGAGTTATTTGAAGGAGTTATGAAAGAAAACCAGAAAGGGCTATTTTTCTAAGAACCAATGTAACCCCAAGAACCACAAGAGTTGTACTCACCGGGATAAACATAACTCAAGTTATAAAGACATTCTCCACAATTCTATAGAGGTCAAATGGGGATTTGGCTCACGAGATACTCCAGAGAAATCAGTGGGGCTTTGTTACCTTGAAGACCCTAGCACCTCATCAACAGCAACAGAAACAGGATCCAGCAGAAAGGAAAGTGTGGCCAATTAAGAATTTATTATTAATAAGTAATCAGGGGAGCAGGAGGATTGCAAATAACAAGAATGACATGGGGGAACCCACCTATTTTCACTGTCTGGACTTGGAAACATGAGTGATAATTCCTCCAGTCCTCCCTAAGTACCTGATGGGGGTCCCGGTCCTGTTAAATGTTGGGGAGTTGGGAACAGAAGTCAGCCCAACACAGTTCCACATTTCATCAGTTCCACTCAGCAGCCCTGTAAGACAAGCATTGTTCCCCATTTCACAGAGCAGAAAACGGGCTCTTTAAAGGAATGTATCTGTAATAAAGGGAAGGTTTATTATTTCAGTTAAGACTGAAGGATACTTAGTTTACTCTTCAAATTTGTTGAGCCAGTATTGTTATGTATCTGCACTACATTCATAATCTCATTGAAAAATAATTTTCATTGCTTCTCAAACTCCAGAAAATAAAAGGAAAAAATGTCACATATCATTTTTTTTTTTTTTTTTGACTGAGTCATGCTCTGTCGCCCAGGCTGGAGTGCAGCGACGTGATCTCGGCTCACTGCAACCTCTGCCTTCTGGGTTCAAGCCATTCTCCTGCCTCGGCCTCCCGAGTAGCTGGGACTACAGGCGTGTGCCACCATGACCGGCTAATTTTTTGTATTTTTTTTTTTCAGTAGAGACAGGGTTTCTCCGTGTTAGCCAGGATGGTCTCGATCTGCTGACCTCGTGATCCGCCTACCTCAGCCTCCCAAAGTGCTGGGATTAGTTATCACACAGAAATGTGCCCCAATTAACACTCTAGTGTATTTAATCTCAGATTTTTTTTAGTTCATCTGTTATATGTAAGTATACATTTTTAATGAGACAATAAATGTATAGATTGCTTTTTAAATTGCTTTATTAGCTTTAAATTTTTCCATGCAAATGGGTGAAACTACTGCTGACAGAAACTTAGACTGAGTGCAAAGGCAATTTCCAAATAGAAGCTGGCAACACAAGACCCACTTGACACATGGAAATAACAGGGTTCACAGCAAACGGATCAGTAAAGGCATATTAGGAAAATGCAAGGAAAAAGAAAACAGCGGGAATCACAGTATTAATCTCATGATAAATGGCAGGAGTCAAGGCATAAGGCAAAATTCATCATGATGGTCATGGTGATTAGAGAGCTCCCCCATAAGGATACGCAGACAATTCCTCAACTGCAGCTCCCTAAGTTTTCTCCTGATTTCTCTCATCTCCTCCATGAATATTTCCATATCATCTCCATCTCCACCCATCCCATCATTGATCTGCCTATTGGGTATGGCCCATCGAAAATTAGGGGCAAGTCGGCGCGCCTGTCCCCGTCGATTTCCTGCAGGCTGGTGGCCTTCACCTCCTCCCAAAGGGCGGTCTTCCTCTCCATTCTGCATAGGCTGCTCCATCTCTTCGTTTTCCTGGTGAATATTTGCCATGATGAGATTTTTTTTCTGGTTGTTTTTCTTTGAACACAAGTAAGACAAAGGCAAGGAGAGAGACTGAATGCTTGGTGCACTGACCAGCAGGATTCAGAACCCTGATATCAAAGGATTTTTTCATTTCATTTTTTCCCAAGTTGGAAGTTCCGTGCGTCCTCTAGGGGGCCTCCAATTAGAGCCCCTCCCTCCAGCTTTCTCCCCTTACCTCCCTTCCCCCAAACCCACCATTTTTCCTTTCCCAGGATTCTTTCCCAGAGCTTCGCAGGCACCAAAATGGAGGACCGGTATAGGAGTGGGGGATGGGGTGGAGGGGGTTGGGGTCTCAGACTGGGCTTTCCTCACGTTCCGACCCCCGCCCCACCACCGTCCCTCGAACCGACCTGGGCCTATCCTTGCAGTTTCCTCCTCCTCCGGATTCTCGCTGCTAGGTGCGCCGCGGGGACACTTAGCCTCGCAGACCTGCAGTCGGGCCGGGGTGGGGGGAGTGGGGGCTGCTGCAGCGACACGCTAGTGAGGACCAGCCGCCGCCGGCCCTTTCCCTGCCCTGGGCCCGGGCTCCCCTCGCGCCAGCGCCCCGCGTCTCCCACCCCCCGCTCCCACCCCACCCTCGGCCGCCCCGCCCCCCGCGGTGTTCCCCGTTTTCCTGCAGGGACTCGGGGGTGGTTTTCCATCGCTCTTGGTGGCTCTGCCGCCCCTGGAAACCCAGCCGCCCCTGCTTCCCCACCCTTGGGGGCCTCTATGTTCCCAAGCATGTTGGAGTGTGGAGAAAACTGGCGGGGACCCCTGCGCTGTTCTGCGCCCGTTGCCGGGGTCGGTCAGCCGCTGCTGGCATGGCCGGGGCGCGCGGGCCCCGGGGCCCTTACCTGCTCCGCTTTTTCCCGGGCCGGATGCCAGCCCGCCGAGCTCAGGGCAGCGGGGAGCTGGTAGACAGACGCGAGTGACGACTGCACCGAAGGCTGCGTCGCTCTGCAGCTCTGGGTCACGTGAGGGCCGCGCGTCACCACCGAGCTCGCCCCCCAACTTGGGCGGCCAGTGCAGCAGGATCCCCCTTCCCCCCCACCGCCATATGCACGCGCAAAAAACAGCCTCCCTACTCCCGTCTGCGTGAAGTGCCCCAGAGCGCACAGCCCTGTCACTCTTCTCGGTCCTCTCCAATCTGAGGGCCCACAAGTGGCATCACTGCTCTGCGGTTGGAGTTTGCCCTCCTCTGGTTACCAGGGAGGGTCTGCATCATCCACCACCGCCCCCTCTCACTTCAGGCCTTGGTTTTGGCCTTTTCTGCTTTCTCTCCTCTTCTACCTGGCAACATGCTTTGCGCTGCACTCCCACTCCTGCCCCTTGCGTGTGCACAGCCATCAATGCCCACGTAGCCCCTGAAGTCCTACCATTCTAGAAAATTTAGAGTGATGGCTAAGGTGGTGAGGCAGGAGGGCACTTGTCAGAAAGAGGGGCAAGGAAGTGGAGTGGGCTGTATATATTTCTTTTTATTTCCTTAAAAAATCTGCATGCTTCCGAAAATTATAAATTATAAGTTTTTAATTTTGAAAGAAATGCTGGCCAGGTGCGGTGGCGTACCTGTAATCCCAGCACTTTGGGAGGCCGAGGCGGGCGGATCACTTGAGGCCAGTAGTGCGAGACCAGCCTGGCCAACATGGTGAGACCCCGTCTCTACTGAAAATACAAAAATTAGCTGGGCGTGGTGGTGGGCGCCTGTAATCCCAGCTACTCGGGAGGCTGAGGCAGGAGAATCGCTTGAACCCGAGAGGCGGAGGTTGCAGTGAGCCGGGATCACACCACTCTAGCCTGGGCAACAGTGCGAGAACCTGTCAAAAAAAAACGAAAAGAAAAAAAAAAAAGGAAATGCTTTATCCTGCAGAATGAAATCTCTGTCATTGTTTATGTTGACTTGTGCCACACGAAATATTTTCTCTGGGCTCCACACAACATCAAACCATTACTTTTGATACATACTAGCTCATTTAAAATTTTATTTTTGGCCGGGCGTGGTGGCTCACGCTTGTAATCCAGCACTTTGGGAGGCCAAGGCGGGCGGATCACGAGGTGAGGAGATCGAGACCATCCTGGCTAACATGGTGAAACCCCATCTCTACTAAAAATACAAAAAAAATAGCCGGGCATGGTGGCGTGTGCCTGTAGTCCCAGCTACTCGGGAGGCTGAGGCAGGAGAATCGCTTGATCCCGGGAGGCGGTGGTTGCAGTGAGCCGGGATCGCACTACTGCACTTTAGCCTGGGCCGCAGAGCGAGACTCTGTCTCAAAAAAAAAAAAAATAATAAATAAATAATAAAAATAAAAAATTATAAAAAGGCGGCACTCTTTCTGAACACAGTTAGTGTTTTCAAAATGATCTGTAAAGTAAATCTTCAGGGAGCAGTCCGGTCGTCAGATCTTCACCATTTTATGTAACTTTGATGTTTTTGATACCACAGTCATCAGAGAAAGGGAGTCTTTTATTCCCTGCTTTCCTTTCCAAACCTTTCAAACCACCCCTACAAATATCTTTTTAGTACGAGTTCAGAAGTTAAGTACATATTATGCAGAAATTAGTTTCAAAACCATCTACCCTTTGGTGCGAATGTTTAAAAATATATTAGAAAAAAGCAGGGGATGTGTGCAACAACTTAACTTGAGACTGAACCTCATCCTGAGTGCAAATGTTCCTTTCTCCAACTTGAAATCATTTTTTAAAAAATTATCACAGCTAGAAAATGGAGATATCTTTAGGAAAGTGGCATTGTTATAAAAAATATTTAGTATCTGTTGTTTATGATCAGGAACCAAAAGCATAAAATGCAGCACTGAGGCAAGATAAGCCAGACAAATGTTTACTAACTCTAGTTTTGGCCCCAGACTCCTATAGAATTTCCTGCCCTGCCAAACCAGATGACACAGTGAATAAAGGAAGAGTATATGCCCAATGCATATGTAGTTAGAGGTTTTGGAAATATAAATTCCATATAAAATTACATATATATTCTTCTAGAAGTATATAGATATATTAGTACATTACTCCAAAACATCAAATTATAAAATCACACTCAATATTTGTCTTTTAAAGAAATATTAGTGATTCCTGGATTCTGTCTCACAGTTAAGAACTTTTTATACAGATTGCTATATTAATGATATCAGCTGGAATGATGCAGTTTCAAAGCATGAACAGTAGTATCAGACAATTCTGGTTTCAAATTCGGTAGGTTGTTTACTTGATGTTCGACTTTGGATCAATTACTTATCAAGGTCTGTGTGCTTCCTCTGTGAAACAAGGATTGTTAGAATTACACATAACAATAATTTACTACATAGCCTAGTAAGTCATCAATTTTTGTTGACATTATTTTTATCGTTATGAGATGGTTTCTAACATGATTTGAAGAGTAGCAGAGTATGATTCTTTCCTTACCTAGACCCACTTGTTCTTAAAATCCATCAGGGCCCAAAACATGCTTGCTGTGTTCTATTTTGCATACCCAGTGACTAATAGTGTTCCTTGCACCAAATAGGTGATTACTGAGTATTTGTTGAATGAGTGTATCCAGTACTGAGGCAAATTGGTTGTTTTTCATTCTGGGGACTGTATTTAGAGCAATACAGAAAAGCTTTTGTGAAAATTAAGAATTACCTAGAAAAAAATCTCCTGAAAGCTGAGAAGCCACTGTGATGTGACTATTGGATATAAAGTTTAGCAAGTGGATTTTTATTTCTTTTGGTGGCTAAGTGCTTTGCTTTTTTTCTTTTGACCTATCTTGGATAAATCCTTTGTTCAAAACCACCAAATTTCCTTGGATGAAAACAGACATTTGTTTGTAACATCCAGATTGGATATTATGCTATATAGAAGATTAGTGCCGGGCGCGGTGGCTCAAGCCTGTAATCCCAGCACTTTGGGAGGCCGAGACGGGCGGATCACAAGGTCAGGAGATCGAGACCATCCTGGCTAACACGGTGAAACCCCGTCTCCACTAAAAAAAATACAAAAAACTAGCCGGGCGAGGTGGCAGGCGCCTGTAGTCCCAGCTACTCGGGAGGCTGAGGCAGGAGAATGGCGTAAACCCGGGAGGCGGAGCTTGCAGTGAGCTGAGATCGCGCCACTGCACTCCAGCCTGGGCGACAGAGCGAGACTCCGTCTCAAAAAAAAAAAAAGAAGATTAGTTGTAATAAAGTAATGTTTTAAAGATAGGTGAAAATTGTCCTGGAAATGCTGTTATCTTTACTAAAATGTTGTGAATAGGAGTTGATTGAGATGTTTTCTTGACCTTGGATTTTTCTGAGGAGTTGGAAATAGATAGCACACTGTTGAGAACAAAAGCAGAAATTTTTTCAAGGCCAAGTTAGAAGGACACTATATTCTGCATTTGGGATTCATGTGTCCCAAAGGGCAAAGAGAAGGTGAACTGATTAGATGGTTCTTATCCACACACACATTTTACACATGTTTCAAACCCAGGAGCCTCAATTCTAATCTGCCCTGGAGGGACCAGGAGGACTCAGAATGAAAAGTGAGATTGGCATTTGAAAATCAATAGAACCAAATCTTTAATCTGACTGAAACTATTTTAATAAGCAATAGTGACTGAAAAGTTGAAGAACTGGACAGAAATGTAGTTAAAGAAGCCCATTACCCCGTGTGAAATGGGGGAGGGGGTGATAGAACACTGCTGATACAGTTATTGGAAAAATAAAACTGTTTCATGATTTGACCTCAACTAGTGAAGATCCCTCTATTGTATTAGTATCCCATCAGAGGAAGCTCGTTTTTGCTGAAATCTTTATGTGTATTGCCATAATATGGCTCACATGTACTTGTCTGAAATGCACCCCGTTGGGCTGTGGTTGTTGTCCTATTTTCCTCTCATTATTTCTCCTGTGTGAATGCTAGGCTTCGGAGAAGGTAGTCTGAGCCCTAGTGGGCCCTATGGGTACGAGTATCTCTGTTCCTGCCCAGAATAGGTTCTCTATGTACCTCTCTGATGCTTTATTGATATTCTTTTATTGTGATTCTCTCTTTCTCTCTAAATTTACGCACTGATTACAGACTGAAACTAGGTATTAAGAATATAGGAAATTATGCCTACTCCAGCTTTCCTCTAAGTTATGGCCGTTGTTAACTTTGATGCCAAGATTTCCAAAATGTGGAATGAATCTGATGAAATTTTAAGGGTGTCCCTGTAAGAGTTTCGATGATTTGGGAGATAACATATTTAATTCAAGGTATCTAGTCTGAAAAAATAAAAGGGCTATGAGACGAAGATGTCTGAACGTGAAAGCAGCAAATACTCAGCGCCTCATTATCTATTGGAGAACTGAGGGCTATTCTTTTCTTTATTTCATGGATTGCAGATAATATCTTGAGACACCAGAGACCCATGGCCACTCTTTCCTGTCGTTTAGGACTCTGGTGGAAAAGGAGCTCTGCCCTATACAGTCTCCTAAACTGATGACATTAGCTGGACTATGTGTAGGCCAAGAGAACTCCTTTGGCCCTTCTAGATTCAGGCCGAGGCAAGCACCTTTCTTACTTTTCCCTGGACTTAGGGATGAACTTTGAGGAGTAACAAAACTCGTGCCTAAACGTTCATGAAGTCACTTTTTCTTATTTCACTGTTATTACTCCCATGTAAGTTCCATTGCTAGTACACAGTGCAACAAAGGGAACCTGATTTTTTTCTTTCTTTCTTTCTTTCTTTCTTTCTTTCTTTCTTTTCTTTCTTTCTTTCTTTCTTTCTTTCTTTCTTTCTTTCTTTCTTTCTTTCTTTCTCTCTCTCTCTCTCTCTCTTTCTTTCTTTCTTTCTTTTTTTTTGAGATGGAGTCTCGCTTTGTCACCCAGGCTGGAGTGCAGTGGCATGATGTCAGCTCAGTGCAACCTCCGCCTCCTAGGTTCACGCCATTCTCCTGCCTCAGCCTCCCGAGTAGCTGAGACTACAGGCGCCCACCACCACACCCGGCTAATTTTTTCTATCTTTCAGTAGAGACGGGGTTTCACCGTGTTAGCCAGGATGGTCTCGATCTCCTGACCTTGTGATCCGCCCGCCTCGGCCTCCCAGAGTGCTGGGATTACAGGTGTGAGCCACTGCGCCTGGCCAGGGGACCTGATTTTTCACACAAATTTAAAAGACAGAGAATAAACGGGAGAAATATATTTATACCATATGTGCTGTGGGTTGAATTGTGTCCCCCCAAAATATATATTGAAGTCCTAAGCCTTATAACCTCTGA